GCTCCCTGCAGAAGCCAAAAGCCAGAAAACAGCACATGGTCAAAAATGTGCCCGTGATTATTACCGGCTTTCGTCCGATCTTATCCGACAGCCAGCCCCAAAAGAAATTTGTTGTGAATTGTGCCAACGCGAAAGACGACGCGATGAGTCCAACGTATAGACCTGTCTGTCCATCCTTGACAGCGGAAAACGATTTCGTCATCTCAGGCAGATAAGGGCCTATTGAGTTGAGCGCGGTTTGCTCAGCGAGAGCTATGACAGCTAGCACGATGAGCTGCTTGGTCGGTAGGGGCTTTTCATGGTGGGTATGGCTGCCGTCTTCGGATCGGTTGCCATCTTGACCGGACGGGGCGTCAGATGGTGGTCGGCCGCGGGATTTAGGGGGGATAGTTGGGAAGGTCGTGTAATCTACATGGGGATGTACCAGTCAGTATATGTCTCCTATCTATTCCGTATAGGATGTTACCTACGAAGCGTTGACCTGCGCGCATCAAGGCCTGGCCGGGTTGATGGCATCGTCGCGGAATCTACTACCTCTGTGAGGCCGAATTGCTATAACAAGCTTTCGCATGCATTGGGGCGCAGGGCTGTTGCTGGTTATGTCGACACTAACGCGCAGGGCTACACAAGAATGTCAGATAAATCTATATGGGCGCGGTTTGATGATGGGGTTCTTGAATGCAGGAGGCTGAAAGATGCCGTTCGCTGTGCAGATTTCAAGCTGGGATCACGCGCGGCTCAAGCTACGTCATTATCGCAGGAACCCGCTGGCTTGGCGCGAGATCTACATTCTCGATGCTATCTCTCGATCACGTATCTGACTAATCAATGTTTCTTCACATCTTCTCTTCATGTCGACCTCGTCTTTTGATTAGGCAGGTCCGATTGCCATACGTTGCGCTGTTTGCGACAACCCGTTGGCCTAACCAACGACTTCACAAACATAGATCCCAGGACGTGTTTTCATCTCGGTGCACATCAAGCCATGTTCGCATGATGCGAACGGGCCAGGTGAAGCTTGGGAAGGGCGACAGGCACAGTGTGCATGCCGGTCGGCAGAGGAGGCTGGCGAATCCAGACACAGGACCCGGGTGCGATCGATAGAGCCGGTCCGCGAAAAGAAATATAGAATCATGCTGGAGCGCGACTGCCTGGGACCGCGCTAGACGCACATCGACATTGCTGGCCCAAAGGACTCTAGCTACATGCATGCATCGCGGCACCTACTCGATCATCTGGCAGGCGCGTCGCGGACAGGCACATGATATATACAAAGACCTGGCGGCGGCTTTCTTGGCATGCTGCGATACCATGATCCCCCACATTCCTGATTAATTATCGAGAGGGCTGACCGCTCATCCTCAATCTATTACGCCCTGGCGGCTCGCCAAAGCTATTGGACACCTCGCGAACACTGAAAGCTGACTGGCAATACAACTCATCGGTGGATGCGGATTATCAAGATGATCACCAGTCGCTTAAACCTAGTAGAGTCGAAATCTTCGCAACTCGCTCATATCTTCTCAAACACTGGATGCCTTACGAAGTTGTTCGGACTCGACATCGGAGGTGTGTGATCTTCGCATCCGCCTGATCCTCCTGTACCTCAATCATTGCTCGGCGAGGCTCATGAGCGCATTAGAACCAATCCAACCATGCGACTTAGATTACACTGCCGCCAAAGTGCTGGATCCGGGCATCCATGTGGAGATTTCGGTTTTAAGATGTTCAACGAAACTCGGAGTATAAAAACTCTAGTGAATTCCTCATAGAAACGTTAAATAGTCAGAAGACCCAGTTCAGAGCCGCAGGTACACCGCGGTCTTTGTTTGAAGGCCTCTCTTCTACTTGGCTCCCCACTTGGTTGCCCCTTCACATCTCCTCCTACTTCTGCCTTGCTACTTCTCGCCCACTCTCTTCTGCACCTCACTATCTTGTAGACTAGAAATCTCCAAACATGCGATACTCCACCCTGCTCCCGGCCCTGTTAGCCACACGCACAACTCTTGCAAGACCGAGCCAACCCGAGATCGCCAACACCACAACCCTACCCACTCACTTTGGTCTACTCACATTCCCACACTTCCAGGCTCTCGACATCTTCGGCCCCATGGACGTCCTTAACTCACTCTTCATGTACTATCGAAACACCTCCATTGTGCCGCAATTTACAGTCTTCAGCAAGACCATGGATCCGGTGACATCGGCCATGACGGATGGAGGCTTTGGTCAGGAGATCTTGCCCACTATGACATTTTCGGACTATCTGGTGAGTTATGATGGTCGTGTGGAAGTGAATACGACTAATTGAAAGAAGAACAAGCAAACCGACAATGGTGGTGGCGACATGCCTTCTACGAAAGACAAGGGCGCAATCGATGTCCTCTTCGTCCCTGGCGGAGGAGGGACTCGTAGAGACATGACTGAGGAGATCAACTTCGTCAAAGCCACATACCCAAACGTATGTACTCATCCCCTGTCTATCCCTTCCAATCACTAACAAGCTACCCCACAGCTCAAATACATCGTCTCCGTATGCACGGGCGCGACACTCCTCTCGCGCGCAGGTATCCTCGACGGTCGCAAGGCAACCACGAACAAGGCTGCCTGGCCCTGGGCTACATCGACCGGTCCCAACGTAGACTGGGTACCGACTGCGCGATGGGTCGAAGACGGCAATATTATCTCGACCAGTGGAGTTTCTGCGGGTATCGATGGAACGTATGCGTTTGTCAGTCGCGTGTATGGGGAGGAGGTTGCGCATTTCTTGAGTTTGGCATTGGAGTACAACCGTGAGTTGGATGCGCACCATGATCCTTTTGGCAAGATTTGGGATGTTCCGGGTGCTACTTAAATTTCTCAATATCGAAAGAGGGATTGGGTAGTAGTAAGGATCAGATTATGGTGTATGGAAAGACGCGATAGGCTGGCTCAGCTGCATCACACCTGCATATGCATAGCTTACTTACTCTTAGCGTTCTCCGCATACACAACTCCCTTTCCCTCTGCTCGTCTTCTCTCCACGTCTCACATAGTCTGACGCTTGTATTTCAATGGACCTGCCTTTGCGAATCCCAAATCGCCCAAACCTACCTTTCCGTGGCGTGAAAAACGACGAGAAAGCATTTCGGCCATTGAACCACAAATTGAGAGAGATAAGATGCGTTACCCTGTTGCCTGGATCCGGAGACGACCCCGTCGCATGCGAATTAGTGTACACCAACATTAACAACGATTTGGATACTCACATTGACTACACCGCGCTGTCTTACTGCTGGGGAAACGTTGAAGATACCATGGAGATTATATTACATGGTTCTTCAATGAACCAATCGTCTCGGGCACGTAAGGAGCAAACTAATGCGTCATTTCGAATCACGAGGAATCTTTACATCGCTTTGAAAGCATTGCGGAACGACAAAAGACAGCATTTATGGATTGACGCCATATGTATTAATCAGCAAAATCTCCAAGAAAAGACACACCAAGTTCAACTGATGGCCAAAATCTACTCGTTAGCTGAATCGGTATTAGTGTGGCTAGGACCACACGATCTTGATAGCCAATTTCTTATGAGAGTATGGAAAACACACCTACAACGTTTGAACGGGAGTTCTCCAGGAAGAGATGACACAAAAACAAAAATCGACGGTCTTCACCGCGCATGGTGGTCAAGCGCACATCCCTTGTGGACTAATGTGGCTCAAGACAAAGTATTCAACAAAATTGAGCTCGAACATGCTGGTGAACCAATGGGGGACTGCTCGCCATCTAGGTGGAGTGTTAGAATACACGACAGCCTCAAGAAGGTCTTAGAACGACCATGGTGGAGCCGAATTTGGGTTGTACAAGAGGTTTTTCTTGCGCCCAAGAAAGGGGAATGTGATCGTCAAGTTGATTTCAGGATCGGGGTTGATACACTGCGTTGGCAAGAGATGGTGGATCTTATCAACCTGGTGTCTGACGTTGTTTTTCGAAGCGACGACAAAATCAGGATTCCTGGTACGCCTGACATCAGTCAAACGTTCGTGAGCCGAAGGCGGTCGCTCATTTTGGAGGACAGACTGAGTTTGAAAGAGACCATACTCCCTGGTACAGATGATTCCTATGAATCGGCCATCAGCCCGTGGCGGTCGCCCACTTCACAAAATCAACTGGATTTGAACGACGTCAAGATCCCCATCACGCCTGACTTCTATCGAACGATCGTCAATCCATGGCGGACGCTCATCTCGGCAGACCAACGAAACATGGAAAAGGACATCATGTCTCTGCTCACAATCACATCGGGGTTTCATGCTTCAGATCCCCGGGATAAACTCTTCGCTCTACTTCAACTGGCCACAGACACCAGGCAAGCCATGAGGTACGACTCGCGGCTAAGCCCTGATTACACCAAATCCACATGGGCTGTTTTTAACGACTTGAAACTTTGGAAATCAGATTTGGGGAGATGGGGCGATGCACGGTTACGCATAGACGGCCTCTTTGGTGAGCATCTTAATCCCTCAAGAGAGAGGAGCACCCAAGAGCGAATTCCGTTCTGTTGATGCTGAATCGGTCTAAATCCTTCAGTTGAAGCCGAAGTCAGAGTCTGCGCTGCGATGCCCCAAATGGTAGTAGACGTGACATAAAGGTGCATACTACGTCTCACAAGTACATACCTTGGCATTGGATTCCAGCCATGTACTTACCTTGTGTCATGCATGATGCTCTGAAACCGAAGCAAGCTATCATTAAGCCACGACAAAATCGGGCGGATCAAATTGCTGGTGTCAGTAGATTGCACAAAAACGGGTAGCATACCATCATCACAGCCGACTGCGGACGTTCTATTTCCAAGATTCGCATTAATGACAACATTCTAATGTACAGCTTCAGGAGCTTACTGACCTTTCATGCCCACGGCAGCACCATCCGGACAACCGTTCGTTAGTCACCAATGGCCCTTCTTGATGTTGGCGATATGACTGGGGGTTTGGGAAACGAGCATCCAAGGTCTATTGCAGACGGACACCAGCAGTACCCTTCTTCTTGGCCTGATCATCAAACGCATTTCCCAACCCACCACCCCCACTCCTACTCGCCTCAAGCGAACTCTCAGCCATCTTCTTCTTCTCAGCAGCAACCTTATCAAGTTGCTTCTTCGTCTTCGTGTTTCCACTACCCTTGCCGTGGAACTGGTGACTGAGCTGCTTGAAGGCTTCTTTCTGGTTCATGTGGCGCCCGTGTTCGTCAACATACTTCAGCTCGATGTTGGGCGTGTACTCCTTGTTAAAGAGCTCAGCGAGACGGCGACTCTCGACGATCTCGGCGCTGGTGTTGTTTTTGCGGGCCCATTCTTCGCGCTCACGGGGGGTCATGTTGTTCCAGCGGGCGGAACCTCGTTCGCGTTCACGAGCGATCTTGCGTTGGCGCTCGGCGTCAGCTTCGGCCTTGGCCTTGTCGGCAATGAACTTTTGGCGGTCGCGGTACATGGCGTTCTTGTCGGAGGCGTCGGATTCTGTGACCAGACCTCGTTGCTTGAGTAGGGCGAGAGTGGCACCTAGACCTTGGTCGACAGTCTTTTCCGCCTCGAGACCCGTTTCGGTAATGTCTGTGGAGCGAGCCCGCGAGATGCTGCGGTTGCGGGCCTCTTCTGCTTCGGCTGCTTCAGCGTAGAATTGGCCCATTTCGACATCACCGTCTTCATCAGCGACGGGGATATCACCCATGGACTTCGTGCCCTCCGAGATGTGGCTAGACTTTCTACGCTTCCGGCGGGCTTCCTCCTCGTCGGCATCGCCTGCAGCACCTAGATTTTGTACGAACTCGGTTGTCTCGTCGATGACGAGGCCACCATCACCATCTTCAGTACACTCCATAACGTCTGGCTGAGGGGTTACATCTTCGCGTAATTGCCGTGCAAGGTCCTCTGGTCGCATCTTCTTGCGCTTCTTGAGGGCCTTCTGACGCTGTGCTGCGAGATTTGCTTGAAGATCGTCGTCGTCCACGAATGACTCGTCAAAGACTTTCTTCTTCTTCTGTTGTGGTGCGGAGGATTCACCACCGTCAATGTCCATGTCGTCGCCAGCTGCAGTGTCTTCCGCAGGCATGGCAAGCATTTCCTCATCATCTTCGACGCGTTCTCGCTTGGACTTCTTGCCCTTCTTCTTCTTAGGCTTCTTCATCTTGACTTCCGACACGTCCATGTAATCGTTGGTGGGCGCGTCCTCTTTGAGTATGTCCAGACTGATCGCAACCTTCTTTGGCCTTGAAGCACCCGCGACTTCAGCCTGCACGTCTTCAACAGTTCGGCCCTTGCCGTCCAATGTGAACGCATTGCGCTTCTTGCCCTCAATCTCCTCGTCGTATTGTGCAAGTATCGACTTCTGGCCTCCCTCGTCCATATCGTTGGGGTCGTATGCGCGCTTCCGCTTCTTCGAATCGAGTCGCTCTTGTAGTCGCTCCTTTTCTCTGAGTTCAACCGCCTCTAGCTCGTCATCGTCTTCCGCATCGACTGCAGTGTCCTTGAGAACGAGGATCTGGTCCTCATCGTCGAATTGGTCGACCTCGTGTCCAACTTTGACACCAGCAAGGTCCTTGTCGGTATATTGCATGGCCTCGAGTGCCTGGCGCTCGCGCTCTTCGAGCTCCTTGCGCATCTGCTCCTCTTTGGCGATCTTCTTCTGGCGCTTCTTGCTGCTTTTCAGCCAGGCCAGGTCATCGTCGACGTCTGCTTCGTCCGCCAGCCCCTTGCCCTCAAGCTTTGCAAAGCGCGCCGCCTTTTCGCGCTCCTTCTTGATCGCCGCGGCGCGTTCTTCACGTCTTATCTTGGCCAGTCGCGCTTCTTCCAATTTCTTCCAGTTGTCCGAAGCGGCGGCCTGGCGCGTGTCGATGGTGCTCGCAGGCTCTTCGTCTGAGTCGTCGCCATTTTGCGCCGCCTTGAAGTCGAGGCCGGGGGCTGCGGGTGCTGCAGGCGTACTTCCACCGGGAAGAGCAGAGAGGCCCATAGAGAGACGAATCTTGTTCGCCTCATCGATGGATAGGTCCGCCATGGCTGATGCGGTCGTGATGTCCTGTCGCAACGCAGAGGTTTATGGTCCTGGAAGGGAAGTTGTGACGGCGCTGAAAGTTCGGGATCTTCTATACACTTTCGAGCAGTGTGCAGAAGTGGTCGTCGCAAAGAGTGAAAGTACACTCAGTATTCTCCGAAGGTGAAGTTCGGTGATGGGTGCCTACTCGTGACCTGCGGGCAACATCGCACCTCCGCCCACACATTTACCGCCAAGCCACTAGCCACTAGCGCGCCGGCGTTCAGCCGAGCGACATAAAAAAAGTTGCGCGCCCTCACCCATCGAGTTCTCACCACAACGCCCTGTGTCAACGTCTCCTGTCCACGTCCTTTCGGGGAGCCGTGTGATGGTCGAGATATTGACAGTTCGTCCATCATGGAGCCTTCTTCCTCAATAGAACGCTTCGGACGACAGGCAGCGCAGAGCAACTTTGGCAGCTTCCGGCAGCCTGAGCTCACCGTTCACGCGGTTCGAGCTCGGTGTATGGTTGTCTGTCAGGCAGACTGATTCCGTTTCCCTTTTGCTAGGCCGTTGGCCACTGATGCTTGGGACTAACCCAGTCGGCTACACGCCATCTTCATGAGTGATGCTTTAGCGATTCTGCTGCTTTGCGCTCGTTGATCGTGAAGTCTGGGAGCTTTGCATGAGTCTCGCTCAAAAAGCGCGACGGACGCGTTTACGCGTTTTAAAGGAATTGCATCATGCGCGAAGTCATGTGAATGCGCCTGATGTGCGAAACATGCCTAGACGCATATGTAAGAATGAAAGCCGTCCTCTGAGCAGAAGCCGCTGCCTCCTGCATCAACGAGCACCAACACGTCATAATCATTGGGCACATGGTCTCGTATTGACGTCGTGAGTATGCCATACAATATACATATGTTACAATATCTCAGCCGGAAGCCGCTAGATTGCAGTCCAATTGCTGGTAGAAGACCACATAGCCTCCTCGTATTTCTCATGTCAATCCTTCGCGACTTCTCCCAGACCACACACTTAGTTAGCAGCCGGTGCCTCACCCCTCGCCAGCTTGAGCAGCTCAGCCTCTCTCCGCTCCTTCAGCAACTTCTCCCTAACCAGCACTCTATCCGCCTCCGACCTCTCCTTGAACTCCTCAATCTCCTTCAACTCGGCCAACTCCTCCTCAGTCGCCTTGATCTCCACTGCGCCTATCTTCTCCACCAGTGCCTCCAAGATCTCGCTCTCCGACTGGTCTCTCATGTCGATCGAAAACGTGGGCTTCGAGGTATCGGGTACGAGCGTATTGCGCGGGTTTGGTGTTGCGGATGGTGGTGAAGCGTCTGATTGTTGCGTTGTGGGAGAGTTGGTAGAGCCAGCCGATGGCTGTGTTTTGGTTGCTGTGAAGATGTGTAGGAGCGAGGGACCGTCGGGGTCGTTGTGTCGCGCGACTTCCATTGGGATGGATGGGTTACGGTATTTCATCCGGGGCAGCATATTGCGCCAGAATTTCCTGTTCGTACAGTGAGCACTAGATCTTGTCATTGCGTACAATTGCCAGCTCTCAAACATAGTGCCTGAATTGGCCTCATATTCTTGGCCCTCCTCTGGCACTTATAAAGGAGCAATGGCAACGTACCTTGCCCCTCTATGTCCTCCGTAAAGTTTTGTGTTGAATTCCATGCTAATCTTCGACACCTCTTTGGGCAGTATGAGCGCGCCTGGTCCACATCTTATCCATAATAACTGTCATAGACATAGTTGTCAGCATTGTTACATCTCCGGTATCTCGAGCAGGTCGGGTGCGATTGTAGGCTTCGACGTTTTCGGAGGTGTCTGCGGAGGTGGATCTTACGTACGTGCTGTGGTGCTTGTTAGTCTTGCCGAACGAGTAGACATGCTCTCGGAGATTAGCTACTTGCCTCGCGTAACTTGCGCATGCGCTTCAATATGTGCACCATGGTTGCTGTGATGTGATATTGGACTGGGGTTGCGGAGTTTCGAGAGATTCTCGGGCATTGCCCGTAGCGCGATCGTGTCTTGGCAGCCCTGCAGATGAGATGCACCAACTGTTCACTCAAAAAAGAACGTTCTGTATAGATAGTAGTATAAGTGAGCATTGCAATGATTGAACGCCTTCCCAGGTATCTGAGCTACATTATTCTTCCACTAAACATATCCAAATCTCCATCCCCATTTGCCGAGTACTTCCACGAGCCAGTCCAGAACATGTCCAATTCCAAGACTTTATTCGCATCGCTCTGTTGGGTATTATCTGAGATCGCGCACAATGCTTGTCACTTTCCTGTTGTGCGACTCTAGTCCACAGGAGCAGGAGTGTAGGCATTTACCGAGCAGGTTGTGCGGCGGCGGCACGCGTCTCTGCGGGAGTTGGTCCCGCCATGCGCTTGCTCCTGTAATTGGAATTAGTATGTGTATTTCATCTCAGAGTAATTCGGCTTACATGAACGACCTGCTGAGGAAGGAGATGATGATCATGGGCATCCACGAGGGCATCTTGGAGAATCCCCAGGTGACGTATGCGTAAGGAATGGCAAGGTTGTACTGCTGGAGAGCACCGTTGAAGGGGTGGAAGGGACCCTCGTATGGGGTAACCTGCTCAATCTCGTTGTCAACGATGAGCTTCTTGAAGGTCTCGGTGGTGGTGCTGGTGCGGTTCAAGGGCTTGTAGCGAACGACGGGGACGGGCGCAGACTGGTCAGCCATGGGCTTGGGGACCTGGAAGTAGTAGAGCGCCGGTGCGCCGACAGACCATGCGTTGCAGAGGAGAGGCTCGGTTTCGCAGTCAAGGTACGCAAACTTAGGCGCATCAGGCTTCGCAGCCATGATGGGGAGAGAAGCCTGGTTGATGTTAGTGTCGGTCATCTGCATGTTCGCGTGCTATACGTACGTTCCATGCCTTGGTTGCGTTGCCACACAGGCCAAAGCAGGTAGTGTTGCCGCCGGTGGTGAAGATGAGCCAGTCCTGTGTGGTAGGAGGGCTGGCGGTAGCGTCGACAGTAAGCGTCTCTTTCCAGTTCTCCAGGGTAATTGGGTACTGGATGGCGGCAGCTGCATTGGAGGCCACCTTGCTCGTTGCCGTGTCGACTGGCGCCGACGGCATGGAGGGGATGGATGCGGACACGGCAGCCGTCGCCTTGTTGAAGAAGCCCTTCACCTTGTCGAGGAGAGGCACCTGCTCCTCGGCGACAGCGAGCGCCGGGAGAGCGAGAACGAGGCCTGATGAGAAGCGCATGTTGATTGTGTGTGGGGGGAGGTGTGGTGTTGAACTGCGAAAGCTGCGGGCGGTATGCTTGCGCTCTTCTGCCTGATGATGCCACAGGGTCCAATTGGAGCGACGTTGAAGTAATGTGGGGGATGCAGCTCAACGTCAGAGGCAACCACTAACAATCGTGAAGGAGCGGTAGAAATGTAGATGCAAATGTCGCGCGAAGATCGCAAGGAAGTTCCCAGGTCGAGATAGCTAATAATATGAGGAATAGGGATGAGGACTAATAACCCGGCTCTTCTGCTCGAGCTTGGCAGTCCAGAGCTCTGCCGTGAAATTGGGAAGCCTGGGCCAACCGTTCGTCAACAGCCTTCTACTCGGGGTTTAACAGTCTCAGTAGCGACCTAGGCCTAATTAGGCCTAGTGGCTACTAGCGTGCAGGGACCCCTGCGGTACTTATTACAGCCTATTAGACTAAGTTTCTTATTTTCTACCCTACTAAACCCTTTTGTAAGTAGCTCTAATAATTTTACCTAATAATTAGCTCTAATAATTACACTACTTAGCCTAATAATTACAGCTAATTATAATATTTTTAATAATTTTCTAATCTAGCCTACTTTTACCTTACAATTATTTACACTATTTTACTTAACCTAGCTAATTATATTATTTCTAATAATTTTCTAATTTAGCCTACTTTTACCTTATACCTTTACCTTATAATTATTTATAACATTTTACTTAACCTAGTATACCTCTATTATATAATCTATCTACCTCTACTTTTACTTTTACTAATTATTTAGAATAATCTATAGTAATAAGTATCTTTTTTTTATAAACGTAGCTAATAATATTAAAAGTAGATCTTTCTATAACCTATTATACTAGTGCACAAAGTGTTCTTATATAAATTAGATCTTTAATAACCTAAGAATTACCTAGAGAGAGAACGTCTTTTAATAAGAGCTCTTTAGAAACATCTTATTATTAACTATCTTATCTTTTTACTAATACTTTTTAGTATTAAACTCTTATATAATACTTTAGATAATAGAATTTCTTTATAATAGAACTCTTTTCTACTAAACTAACGTCTATATACTTTCTTACCTATACTAATTACCTTATATTCTTATAGTAATATATCTTTATACTCTCTAATATCTATATAAATAGTAAAGCCTATAGAGATATATTCTACTACGTAGTATAAGAAGTAGTTAGCATGCGTTAATGCAACGTATACAGCAACAACAACTATAACAAATATAATAAGTATAGACTTAGCTCTTTTCTTTAGGTTAGCTAGAACTATAATAGTAGTTATGTTTAGGCTAATTACGTTCTTACTACTAAGCGATATTAGATAAGATAATCGCGTAGATAAGGCAACTACTTAGAAATACTAGAAAACACTAATTTAACTAATACCTAGAATAGTAATATTAGAAGTACAATAAAATGCTAGGCTAGCTAGGTTAATATAACACTATAATAGTATATTTAGAACGTACACTAGTGTAGAACTGTAGTTTAATAGAACTAATAACCTAATAGAGTATTATAGTAAGTAAAACACTAAGCTATACTAACTATAAAGGTATTTAGAAAGTATCTTCTGCTATTAGGCAAAGAACATTAAACACTATTAAGTATTTAGAACTTATCTTTTAATTATACAATCTCTATAGTATAATATCTATTTAGTATTTAAGCTATTAAGTAAAAAAGTATTAGCTTCTTTATAAGTTATTTAGAACTATAATAACTACTAAAGAAATAGAAGAAGCGTAAGACGTTAAGAGATCTAGCAATCTTCTCTTCTAAGCATTTATCTACTACTTCTTTAACTACTTTAATACTAAAGACACTAACCTCTAGAACTATCTCTAAAGTAGAGAGTATATTATTATTTATAATAGCAACTAATAGTATAGTCTTTATAGTTTACTTTAGATACACTACTCTAGTTTTTACTAGTAATAATGTTACTAAGTTTCTTAAAGACTATAACTAATAAGCTAACAACAGAGGCCTCTCTAATAAGATAAGAGTCTCTGTTTTTCTAGATTACATTAGTAATAAGAATTACTCTATTACTTGTATTATTAAGCTCTTTGCTAGTTATAAAGAGAAAGACTAGGCTAAGCTTAAGGTAAACATAAAGAAATACTAGGTAGATAAGAATACTACTATTAAGATAGATAAGCACTTATACTTATAAGCTTTTATTTATAAGTATATAAATAATCTACTTAGTCTTACTAAGTATTATACTTACTTCTACGCAATAGTAGAAGCCTACGTTGCTAATAAGTAAGTTCTATAGAAAAAACTTAGCTTTCTCTTCTACTATAAACTTCTAAAGTATAATAAGTAGATAGTTACTTTTATAATGCCTAATACTTCTAAAGGCAATAATTAGGCTAAGTACTATATAGACAAGATCTACACCTTTCTTAAGAAATACTATAGAAAAGACAACGCTATTAATAATATATATACCTAGAAACGCAGTAGTATAGATACTAAGATAAGATATATTATACTTACTAATAAACGCGCTACCTTTAACCTAGAGAAGGTAAAGAGCGTTATTGCTAATCTTAAGAAGTAATAAAAGAAGTAAGAATCTCTACTTTTTTCTAATATAGATTCTAAGGTAGAATAACTTATAACTTTGCTAAATAGACTAAGGCTTAACGTAGACATAGTTTATTTCTTTATAGCCTACTTATTAGTTACTCTAATCTTTAAGAACCTTTATAATGCTCTATACTTTATAGACTATATAACTAAGAAAGAACTCTCTATTAAGAGAAATAATAGTTCTTTTATTACTAAAGTACCTAGAAACATAGCTTCTAAGAGGGGAACTATTTAGTATAGAAAGGCTAAGTACACTAACACTTACTATATATATAATAAGAAAGGTTATAAGATTACTAATTATAAACTCTATAACAATCTCTACAACCTAGGTTAAATTAGTTACTATTAGAATAGTAAGCGCAAGTAAGAAACATACTATTTTAGCCTACTCTATAATTACCTTAACTAAATCTCTAGTACTTCTTTATTAACCTATAAGCTTAAATAGCTTAGGTCTAAGATTAAAAAGTATTTTAACGTTACTAATAATATAATAGAACAGCCTGCGCACAGTGTTCTTTCTAAGAAGTTTAAGAGAGACTCTTGCTCTAAGCATATTCTTAAGTAATTAAACTTAGCTAATATAATTACTTACTTAGACTATTACGTT